AGGTTAGTGATACTTGGAGAAGTAGTACTTGGAGAATTGAGATCGAGCGAGGGGTGAGGAGAGGAAAAAAAGCGTGGAAACGCAACGGGAGAACGCACGGCGGATGTCTGGAGCGGCCCTAGGAGATGTCGCGAGAGGGGCGGGTCTTGCGACCGGGACGGTTGGGGGTGGGGTGAGGAACGTGGTCTCAAAAACGGCGTGGGCGGCATCAAGTCCAGGATCCGCGGGGGTGGAAAGCACGCACAGACATGCTTTGTGATATTTGGATCATTGGGCGCTGTGTTGCTAAATTTGTGGGTCAATAGTCGCAGAGCTAGACTGGCATGCAGGAGGTGCTTTGCTAAGTTGAAGAATTTCATGCACTTAAGGTCACGGTTCCTTCCTTCTGGGGAGGTTGAAGCTAGAGTTTTGGTGGAGCTACCTGTGTTGCGTTCTCTTTTTGTAAGAGTTGAATTGGTATGCATTCTAGTAGAACCTGAGCTTTTGATTGGTCAAAGGTGGTGGCTTTGGCTACCTGCATCTGACCGTCTCTTTCTCTTACACAAATCAGAAGGTTTATAAACAATTTATTAATAATTGGAAGCTGGGAGCTAGGCCATTCAATGAGGGGATTTGAGAATGAAGGAAAACGCCTCTGAAATAGAGTGTAGTTGTTCACTGTGGTTTCTGTTGATGGAGCTGCCGCCCTTCCAAATTGCTTCAAGCCCAAGAGTGATCCTAAATCTGCATGTAGACCTTTAGAAGATTGTTTTAGTCCTTTTCTAGAAAGGTTTACACCAGGTTCCTCTCTGCGCATTTGCCTAATCTTCAAATTGCACCCTACTCAATGCAATCCTCAGCCAGCTGAAACTGCCTGACTAGCTGCATTCTCCAAGGAATGGGATTTTGAAACGTCTTTAGAATCTTTACATCAGCGCTGTTTCGCTCGGTTGCAGACTGTGAACATGGCGCCGTTGTCGACGCGCATCGTCCCCGGACTGGTGCACGACGTGTGGCAGCAGGACAAGTCCCTGCCGAAGTACCCCAAGCTGACGTCAGACGAGGAGGATGACGTCATCATCGTGGGCGCCGGCATCGCGGGGCTCAGCATCGCGTACAATCTGGTGCAAGCTGGCAAGAAGGTCATCGTTCTTGAGCGGTATAGCATTGGTGAGTTGTTTGTTCTAGTACGATCTGGGCATGCGTTTTAGGTTCTTGATCTGGTTCCATACTTGATTCTTTTCTTGCTACTGGTGATCTGGATAGGATGAAGACCAACAACCATTTCAAGATCCGTGGTAATGAAGTAATTTGGCAATCGTCCTGGTATGCCTAGACTTCCAATTGGGGTCCGCAGGAAGTTGGACGAAGTATCAAGCGGAAAAGTCATTTGGGTCGTTCATTGCAAGAAGCGTTGTCTTCAGTGTACAACAGGCGCCACCGACATGCTCTGAGCAACTTGTCCGAATGTCAAGCCCTGATGATTCGCCCTGACGTTTAAATTGTGGACAACGAGGACCCATTGCAACTGGCGGTCTATGATGCGGTCCTTCAAACGTCCAATGCTCGGAGACTCCTTGTCTGCACGTAAACGTCAGACCACCCACATCATCGATGAATCGTCGGTTTTGTCCGGGTGTGAGCCGCCGCGCCCAAGTTTGTTCCATATTCTGAAAGGAGTCGAAGCTTGGGGTTGTATATTCAGGTGCGCGCTGGAGCGTACGCCGGCTTTACATCATGAAGTGGAACAACGATGATGACATGAGAATAAAAGTCACCATCTAAATCAATTTTTTCTTCCTTCCCGGATCGTCAATGAGGGGGTCAAAGTTTGGGAGTCCTTGTCCGGTCAGATGAGGCGCACGAGGGCCCACGTCCAAAAAAGTCTGACGAGGGTTTTGGGACGAACTTCTGGGTGTGTGCCGCTTCTGAAAAGCTCAGATTTGGCCAAGACTGGAGTCGAAGCTTGGAACTCGTTTTCTGCAGGTGCGGCCAGACCGGTCGCATGACCGCCCACATCATGAAAAAGGAACGACGTTCTGGACACGAAGACACAAATTGTTGATTGCAAATTGGCCAAGTTGATTTCAAGCTGCTGGTACGAAACCGAGTTAAAAGCTCTGAGATTGTTTGCTGCAGGCGCGGGCCAGACCGGTCGCATCACCACCCATATCAGGAAACGGAACGACGGATTTGATTTCATTTGTGATCTGCCGCGCTTCTTCGTTCCAGAATTTTGAATAGGGAGTCGAAGCGTGTGACTATTCTTTGCAGGTGCGGGTCAAACCGGTCGCACGACCGCCCACATCATGAAGTGGAACGACGACTACTACTACACGCTGGAGAGCAAGTTCGGCACGCACGCTGCTTCTCTGGTGGCGGACAGCCACAAGAAGTCGATCGACTGGGTGAAGAACGTCGTGGAGAAGGAGAACATTGACTGTGACTTTCAGCTCGTGCCGGGGTACCTCTTCGGTCACGATGACGATATCGTACGTCGAGCGACGCTCACCTTTCCCTTTACTTGTTTTCTCGGCTCTTTGCTGCTTTTCTTCCAATGTTCTAACTTCAGCAGGAAGAAGTGAATCTGCTGCAGCGTTTTAAAACTCGTGGCTACGATGAATATCTACCCTTCGTTTTTCTTCCCACACCCGACTATTTGGGTAGTCAATGCTGTGACGTCGTGAACCCGAAGAGCTGAGTAGTGTCGAGTTTTTAATCCTCGACTACCCTCCTACTAGCAATCACGTGCCTTGACTAAGATGTCGCGAATAAAATTTATCGATCTGCTATCTCTCTGGTGCCAAACTATTCCTTGCTGCCACGTCTCGCGCAGCGGCACAAGGCGGGCCCGTCGAGCTCTACGCGCAAGACGCTTGAGAAGGAGTTCGACGCGGCCCATCGGCTGGGCCTGACCGATACGCAGAAAGTGCACCTAGGGTATGACACCAAGCGGGGGACCATCGAGAGTGCCTCCTGTTCCCGGACAACGGCGACTTCCACCCGCTCAAGGTGAGAACTAGAGCGGGCGAATCGTCGGGTTAAGTCGGCGCGTAAACCCGGCTTGAGGCGACGTGATGCACAAGCCGGATGTCAGTGCCAGTAGGTTATTCTTCAGTTGAGTGATCAATGATTGTGAAGGGAGTATCGGGCATCGCGGATATCTGAAGGCACGAAAAAACACACTGCTTCGTTTTCGCATCTGGTGCTTGGGGATGTGACATTTTCGTTTCCTATGTAGCTTGATCGCGGACGATCCAAACAGCGGGTGTCTGTAAAGAAACGTTTTTAAGATCAGTTGGCCGGCTATATGCCCTCGCCCGCCTCTCATCTAGCATCCAAAATATGACGTTAGTCTATCGCTCCTCATACGGCTTGGGCAAGCTGTGCTCAAAGCTGACGTCCCAGCACTTTCCGAAGCTGACGTCATCCCCGCTCCTCCGGCCGCAGTACATCCACGGCCTGGCCCGCTGCATCGCGGAGAAGGGCGGCAAGATCTTCGAGCAGACGCGCGTCATGGGCCAGACCGCGCGCGACATCAGCACGGAGGACGGCCACAAGGTGCGCGCGCGCGCGGGCGGGGGTGGCGTCGTGCTCTTGACCAACAGCCCCATCGACCACAACCTCGCGGTGCACGCGCGCCAGTTGGCGGACCGCTCGTACGTCGTCGGGCTCAAGATTCCCAAGGGATCCCTCGAGTGAGTCACGGCGCAGTATGTTCTACTTCAGGGTGAGCTGAGGCAGGTATAGAGTGGAGTCTAAGCAGATGTTTTGAGCCAGTCGGGCTTATTCCTGGGGATCTTTCAAGTGGGTCGCGGTAGATATCAAGGGGTCTCTCGAGGAGCTTACAACGGCGTAGCATGCAAGTTGGTTGCGGAATTGAAGCAGCACGAATTGCATCGTTTCAGGTCGACCGGGGGTGTCGATATGACGTGCTTCCTGCAAATTTCCTTGGGTCGGAAAGACGTCTGTGGAAAGATGTCGCTTCACCGTTTGCGCTGCACGGAAAGACTGTTCGTCGTTTTACGAAAGGTTGTTACTTTCGATTTGGCCACTTGCAATGTCTTTTCCTCGGCGAGAAGATAGAAGCTGGTGGCAGAACAGAGGCTCTTTGGATTCTTGCTCGAACTCATGGAACGAAAGCAAGAATTACTCGCAAATTTAGATGCTAATCCGCTCTCCTGCGCTTCCTTTGGGCAGAAAGGCGCAATGGTGGTACACGGCTGAGCCGTATCCCTAATCTGCTTCTTTCTTGCATTGCGTAATTTCAAAAACTTGCCTTCACATCTCTGAAATTGAAGGATCAACGCTGATCTGCTTTCCCGCTCCTCACCCTCGATCACAGAAAGGCGCAATGGTAGGACACGGCGGAGCCGTACCATTACGTGCGCACATATCCGGAGAAGGACTACGAGGTGCTGATCGTGGGCGGGGAAGACCACCCGACGGGTCTTTCCCGCAGCAAGTACTACGACGCGTATGGCAAGCTGGAGGCCTAGGCGCGAGAGCGCTACCCCATGGCGCAGGAGGTGCTCTACCGCTGGACAGGCCAGGTGGGCGCGCGCGCGGGCGGACGTGGCCCGGTTTGGGGTGCTTGTGATTTGCGTCTTGGCATCTTGCGGGTCAGGTCAGAGCCATGTAGTTTCGAAAGAATCGAACGGTTTGAAAGAACGGCCTAGCGTCTCGGGCTATATTCCTTCCTGTTTGGCGTTTTCTTGCCTGTTTCTTGACAACGTTTTTGAAACGGAATTAAGTTTGGGGCTCTTCAAGGGGGCTGCCGCCTGCTTGTGTTGCACAAGGACACACGCCCGGTTTTCGTTTACTTCTTCCCAACTCTTACATAAAAGCCCCTGATTGGCAGCATGCTTCGTCTTACATATCCGGACGTTACCGCTGAGGACGTTGCTTCGTCCGACCGCAGGTGTACGAGCCCGCGGACAACCTGGGGCTGTACGGAGTGGAGCCCTTCTCTGAGGTCCTCGATGGCGGACACCTGTACATTGCAACAGGTGAGCGCGACCGGTTTGCAAGAAGCTGAATTAAGTAGAGTGGATTTGCCATGAAAATGAAGTGAGCCGAAACCTTTACAGTACGGGACTGTCAAGACAGGTAGGATCTGCTACCCTTTGCCTAATCCTACGTCACCTCGACCATCGTAAAATAAAGATTTACCTTAAGAGCTTGGGTACGAGTACGGCTCGCCACCAGTCTGTGGACATGTTTGCTTGTCCAAGAAAGGGCTAGCCAGAGAAGTTCAAAAGCTGAAAATACGTTTCTCCTTTATTCTGGGGTTAGTAGTAGTAAAGAAGTTGGAGAGCAACGGACGGAACATCGACCACCTCGGTCCCTACTTTTCCAAGTCCGTCTTTATCATCTCTCTTTCAGAGATCTTGGCGACTACGACCAACACGTTTTTATGCTCAAGTCCCAGCTCATTCCATCTTGAGCCTTGGGTTTTATTTTTCATTGGTTTGATCCTTACCCCGGACCGAGATTCAGTCTAAGATTGTGATTCTGCTTTTTTCGCGCGCGCAGGCGACAGCGGGCAGGGCATGACGGGCGGCACCATCGCGGGGATCGTCATTGCTGACCCCATCCTGGGCAAGCACAACCCGTGGGCTGACGTGTACAGCCCCAAGCGCATGATTCACGGCCTCTCATCCCTGGCGCCCCTCGCAGAGGAGTTCGCCAAAAACATCAAGGTGACCTATCCCGGATTGTAAACCGATGTGGGTCCCTGGAACAGACGTTTATCAAGGGAGATAACTATTTTTGCTCGGTCTGCAGATTACATCAGATTGGTACTGATCCTTGCGTTTAGATTGAGTGTGGTGGCAGTTCTGCGGTCTTTGTTGCTCATGCACCGAAAGAACTCTGCAGCGATGGAATGGTCTCATACTTAGCCTTGGCAACCTGATTCTGCAAACGATAACGTCACTTCGCGCACTCTGACAGTGAATCAGTTGATGTTATCTGCTGACTCACTCAAAAGCTTGCCTCAAGGTTACGATGTCACAAAACTGAATATTCTCTGCAGACGTTCAGCGCCCCCCTCTGTGGTTGATTGCCTGAAAGCCTGTGGGTTCTCTGCTTTCCTACGTTTCACGACGCCGCACCGAACGTGTTGCAAGGCACGGGAAGCAGCAGGGTAACACCAAGATCTAGTTTGAAGATTCAAAAGGCTTATGTGTTGACTCTTGTGGCCTTGTTCTTTCGTCCGCAGGGGTACGGCGAGCTGTTGCTGCCGAGCAAGCTCCAGTCGGCGGACGCCCTGGCCAACGACGATGGCGACATCTTCCAGAAGGGCATCCACCACGTGGCGGCCTACAAGGACGCGGAAGGCAAGCTGCACGAGTACTCAGGTACGCGGCGCGGACGTTGTTCTTTCCGACGTTTGCACCCTTACGTTGGAAATCTTTTCGATAGATCGTTTTCAGCCTTGGTGGGCTGATCGTGGATTCGCTTTCAGACGATTCTGAATGTCACGTCATCGAATGCTGGCATTAGTTGGCAGGTTGGTCTGTTTCGTGGATATCAACGCTGGAAAAAGAGCTGGGTCGCACAGATGTCTCACAACTCCGCGTTTGTCTTTCGTCATCAAGGTGACACGTTGATCTCTTTCAGCGCCCAAATTCTACCTCTGGCAAACGATGCACAACATGTCGACCTGTTTTACTGATCCGAACCTTTACTTCTGCTTCCTGCCGCGTGGCCTCACAAAAGGGAAAGCCCTTTGCCAGCTGGTCGTGCCGAGGAACCTTGAAAATCAACACTACCTAGATTTTCAGGGTCATCCGTGTATCAGAAAATCTGCGGAAGACATGACCCTACTTTCGTAATCTCTCCACAGCGATCTGCCCGCACATAAAGGCGCTCCTCCAGTGGAACCCGTTGGACAAGACATTCGACTGCCCGTGCCACGGCTCCATCTTCGACCGCTACGGCCGCGTCATCAACGGGCCCGCCAAGGCCGACCTCTTCCCAGCGCCCGTTTAGACGCTGCCACGTGGCGCCTTTGCCACGTAAGGCGACATGCACGCATGCGTGGATGAGCTGCAACAAGTGGCATTCAGGATAAGTGGGCAAACAAGGGAAATTTTTGTAGATAGAAAGGCGCCTCTGAAAGGAGCAACCCTGGTAAAGATTGGGGTAGGAAGATGCGGAGTGTTCATTTGTAGCTAGTTGAGTCAGGTTAGCCACGCGAGCGCAGAAATGGCGGAGTCCGCTTCATCGGGCACTGTTGGAGTATCAAGAATAGAGCCCGGCCGGTGCTTCGAGCATACCTGTAACAACGCGACGTTGTAAATAGGAAGAGGTGAGACGGTGAAAACCGAGAAGCAAGCATGTAATCTACTTAGGGTAAGAAGTTCGAACCCCAGATACTTGCAATCTTGACACACAGACGTCGAGTCGCTGGCGATCGTCGGATGCTGCATAGGCAAATCTTGAAGACGTGAATTAAGAGATTCAGTGCTGCTGAGTATCTAAACGGAGTGCCAAGGGGAAAAATGTAGTTTTCATGGAGACCCGATCAGAAGGTTTGCGCTCGCGCTTGTCAAATGAGTCAAAAACCCCTAATCGAAGCACACCAAGGTCCGACTGAAAAGGCTTGCCCTCGTTAAAGCGAACCCAAAAACCATAGGCTAGTTCAAGGCGTCCTGCTTCTTGGCTATTGCCGATGCAATGTCAAGCTCCAATCGACATAGATAAGAATCATGCATGTGTATTGGCGACTGAAAGGCCTGGCCAAGAAGGCGTTTTTGATATGGATGGCGAGCTATATACAAGCATAAAATGGCATATCCCTTGAAATGCTCGATTGACCGTGTTGATGCATTACAATCAAAGTTCGTGCTCTACCATAGAAAGGAATCTGCATTTCCGGTGATTTGCAGTTGGAAATATTTGCATGCAGATGCTTGTCCAGGCCGCACTAAACGCTTGGATTGGCCCCACAAGGTAGATCCGAACCTTCGTGCGCACAGAACTGTATGCGACGCCAGATCCTCCTGATCAAACAGAGCATATCGTATACTGGTATGTGAAGCAGAACGTCTTTCTAGACAAGCGGTTTAACGAGCAAATTGCACGGGACCGCTACGGTGCAAATTGGTGGCGGGCGGTTTACCGGGCTCCGGCGCGGAAATTTGTCCCGGGCGCCGTACCAATTGAAATACGCCGTGCGGGCCCTCTGCCCGAGTTCCGGGTGCGGCCAAAAGTGCCCTCGGCGGCAAATCGGCCCGACATGCGGAGCTTTTTGCCCGAGTTTAGCCAAGTTTAGCCTTGGTTCAAAATGCCCCGAATGTCATGGACCGACTGATACAGAAAGTAACGCTTCAGTCTGTTCATGGTATAATACTTACCAATTTGCTGCCGTACACTGGTCTCGGTTGAAGCAGATTCACACTAATAAGTACTCGCTGGTCCATGCAAGCTGTTAACCGGGAGGACTTGCTTATACTCCGGGCAATACATCACACTGAGCCTCAAGCTACGGTGTTAGAGTGACGGCCGGGAAGAATTCCGGTCACCCCGGTTGCTTTTGTGTCCAATGTAGGTACACCACATTTGTACTTCTATTGTACTCTTCCAGATGCTACTGCGGTAGAGTTCGGGTTATACCGGTACAAGCCGAGCCGGTACCCTACCAACGATATACCGGTAAGTACCTCCTAGGAACCTCTCCCCCTTGAAGTTTATTTGCCGTGCGTGCCGCGGTGTCGGTTGTACGGACAGCCGTACGAGCGGTGTTCACCGCGGGTGTCGCTGGGTATCAACAGGCAATGTGAAAGTTCCCCTTTCCTCCTACAAAATATGGTGGACAAAAAATGGCTCCTTTTGCTCTTCCTTGTCATCAAAGTGAGCATGGAAGTCTGTTAAAAAGTTAATCCCCAGCTACAACACAACTATAGCCTTAGTGTAGACACTACCCCCAACCAAGCCCCCAAGTGTCGCTTGTGTATCTTGTATTTTGAAGCTCCTACAATGCCATTTTCAAGGCCCAATTTTAGGGCCAAATTCCTACAAATTCCTACAAAATTGGATAATATGGGGGCAATGTGCAATTTTTTGGGGGCAATATCGTACGAGCACCGTTGGAGGTACCCGCAGAACGCCGAAAATCCGGTACTCGAAATTTGGTCGTACCGTCGCCATTATGCGGGCCCCGACCACCGGAAATTTTAGGTACCGCGGAAATTGCCACGGACCGATTTTGCACCCGGTAGCGGTCCCGTGTGGGCGTGTGGCCAGCTACAGAAGAAACTTCTCACACCTTCTGCGCTGCACATCGAGCAGACGACCAGGCTTCCAAGCGCTATCAAAGTAGTTGTAAGATGATACTGTATGGTATGAAGCTGATCACCCGCCTTCTAGCTGACCCACTGTCAAAGGAGACTTGGCCGTGAAGCAGTTCATCATTCGTGATGCTCCGGAGAGTTGGGGGGCGGCTACACTTTTCCTCCTCCACGAGCGACTCGATCCGCAATCTTGCAAAAAATAAAGAATGCAGAGGTTTAAGGCTCAAGCCGGTGCTCTCTTGCTCTCATGTCCGTCCACTTTCATGACTTTTTGAAGGAAGATGTGAGCCTTGGCCGATTTACAGTCTCGTGATCTGTGGCGCGGACATCGGAGGTCAACAGAGAGCCGGTTGTAACTCAAACCGTCGCGAAGCAGTTGCACGAATCTGAATAAACAATTCCACACGCATGAGAAAAGTCAAATGCCTGCTGGAGGCAAATGGGCAGCGGCGATCGATGCACAACTTGGTCGTTCCTTGGATGACTTGTCCAGTTTTAGTCAGTGTGGGACCGTAAGCGCCAAGTATGACTCGTTGAAGATCATGCGCGGTTTCCAAAGCCTCTTGAAGTCATAACTTGAGCTCTGTCAACTCTCGCACTCCTCTCTAACAATCCTTTCACCAATTCTATCTGGCATCTTTTCAGCCCAAGATTCATAACATGCGATTTTCTTGAAACTACATATATCCTAGAGTTTTTCAGTATCAAAAAGCTTTTGCCTTGTCTTTCTTATCCGGTGAGCGATTGAGTGGTAATCATGGCAAGGCGCAGGCGAATAATATTGCCTCAAATCCTGTCGCTTCGTGGGGGCATTGATCAACTCACTGCGCGCGGAGGTTTGCTATGCTGTCTGCGTAGCGTTTCAAAATCCGAGCTTTATCGCGAATCGGGGCCGCCTGCTCACGCCGATACTCATCTATGAGAGCCTCGAGCACGCTCTCGAGCTCCTCCTTACGGCAGTTATTGCGGGTGACTGCAAATCGCAGGAAAAGGTCTCACAGACTGGAGAGCTTTCTACGTAAAGAACTTCCTCAACAAGAAATTTATTGAGCGATCAGTGGGGATCAGGTGCATACGATTTGTCACATGGTCATCTGATTGATCATCAACCGGCTCGTCGAGCAAGCTTTGCACAAGACAACGCAAGAGACTATCCACAGAGGAAATCTGTACCTCTGGAGGTGGTATATTCGCTGAACTTTCTTGTGAAGCCTATTGCCTCGGAAAAAGAAGCTCAAGTTGCTGGAAGCTCATTCCCACCATATTACTGCATGCTCAACCTTACAATTCCGAATGGATGATGAGTTTATTGTACGATTAACCAACATCAGTGATGAATAGGAAAAGACATTCAAACCAGAACTCAAAAGCAACACCAAGGCGAACGACAGACGTCTCCAGGCAATAACCATCTCCTGAAACCGTTCCATTTGGTTCTGATCAATTGACAAAAAGCGGATAAACGGAAAGCTTTCAAGAGTTGTAGGAACGGATCGTCGTACTTAGTATGGAGATATGGATAAAAGGAGAGTGTCTTGTAGCATAGCTCTTTCATTGTGAGGGGAATCGATCACTTGCAAAACCTAGTGTTTGGTGTTCAAACCTGGTTCTCAAGAGATCCAAGGGAAGCAGTACACGAGCGAGCTGTCCACTGCAACAAGCCTTAGGCTGCATTCGGCATGCAATTCAAGTAGTGCCAGACTGATTGAGGGCACTTTTGCCAGTAGCGGCCGGCTCATATCATCTCTGTGTTCCTGTCTGGTTTTCAGAAGTTTTTTGTCATCAATCTTGTTCGCGCCTTTTCAATACCACTAGGCGCCAGCTAGAAATCCACTCATGCCGCACTGGCTGGCACAGTATTACCCACTAAGTCTTTGAGTCTCCCAACGCACTGCACTGATGATTAACGCAGCGGCCTAAGTGACAATTTCCTTCCAGCCCTTTGAGTTCATGAGTTGGCTGGTGGTCAGGGGAAACCATTGCGTAGGGCTTACACGTGTCTTTCGGTGGAATTTGAAGGTGACACCGCGCCGGACAAGGTGGCCCCACCGGCCGCCGTGCTGTCATTGTTACTACCCACCGTTGCGGCGTTGAAAGCGCCCCCACCAGTAGGGGTGTTGTCATTTGTGTTGGCCTTGATGGCCTGGCCGGGACTGCCAGACCCCGCCCGACCGCCACTGCGAGTTAGGGCGCGCTGAGGATGCATCCCATGTCTAACACTGAAAGGCTAGAAGATGCGTATACTACGTTTTGTACCAGCTGCCTGTTAAAAGCCTGAACTCTCCGGAGTCAAGCTTCCCTATAAGATTGAGATCACCTGTGCAACAACTACGCAAGTAACGGTCTACTCGGCCCCGGAACAGGCATATTGGCATATGGTTTACGAGGATTTTGCGGCTTTGGCATACGAAATACTGGACAAAAAGGGATTTGGCATGCGGCATATCCAGTTTGTAATATGCCAATATGCCAGGATTTGTTGCAATATGTTCAGCTTTGGCCCTAGAACAGCCTGTATGTTTTCGAATTCAATGGGATAATAATCTGCATATGTATCTACGTTGACTGTGCTTATCACTTCTTACCGCGACATATACATTGAACTACCGTACGACCAATGTATGATTCCGAATAAATAAATAATTATTTGCACTCGGAAAGTTGGAGATTCCGGATAAGCAGTCGGATTCTGCTTTT